TTACGAGTAGGGTGATGTGTCAGACCCTTCACAATTCTTTACATCTAATAGCTATCTGGTAGCATAGTGCCTAAGACACTTGACTATTAATGAGAAGACTGGCAGTTCAAACCCACCAGCCACTCCTTGGAAGGAAGGTTGGGCAATCTACTTCCATAGTGATACCACCTCAGAAACCCAAGAAAGGGTCGCTATGAGTCGGGTCAGACTCGACGGCACATAACTACAACAACAACAATAGCTATCTATGAAAACATCATCTTCATCATATAACGTCCTCTTTTAACAACTTCGCCAATGCCACACTATGCCCTGAATTTACTTAAGGTTTATACATTGTTTATACTTTCACAAGAACTCAAGACTGTTCAATGTTTAAAATGTGGTACAGGAAAATACAATCAGGTAACTGTGATTCATTACAGGGGGGAAAAAGGAAGGTTTTGCCTTTTTCCATTTTTCCAGACTGAGAATAGCAAGGTAGAAAAAACCCCAGTGATTTGCAAAGGCTCTCAATAAAGTCCTATAGCAGGTGTTGCAGGCAAAACCTTGGCCTCAGGTAGGGTTCCTGAGAGATTCTGTTAATTGACCAAATGGCATTAAGTAGAGGCAGTCAGGTGAGTTATGGGGAGGTGGGGTAGCCCTGAGTCACAGAACCACAAGGAATCTAATATCCTGCCAATTCATGAAATACTGAATGTCCAAAAGCTTTATGCAAGGAAACCAGCATGCGTTAGGCTGATGACTGACAATATTCCATTGCTACTATGCCAGTTGGAAATAGGATCACAGATGTTTCTGATTTCTGCCATGTGGATTAGGTAACCTAGGAGAGTGCCTACACCGGAAGAAGACTCAAAACATGTTATACAACGAAGGTGACAAAGATGCTCAAAGACTGGTACCAATGATGACAGCTGTGATGATGAGTAGATGCCTACATGAAAAATGATTATTCATTTAAATGAACTGAGCATTTCATGGTATAACCAAATATGTCTACATTTTATTTTGCATTTGAGGATTAGAAGGCCAGAGGAATTGCTATGCTTGTCAGTACTTCAAATGAGTCATTTTCCTCACTTTATTTCCATGATACAAGTTACCTGGATTTGACATCTGTGGTGACGATAGGTTACTTTGATATACTGACTTCATCTAGAGGCACATAAAAAATAGAAAAACTAAACCCATTGCCATTGAGTCAATTTCATGTGTTACAGAGTAGACCTGCTCCATAGGGTTTTCTTGGGTGTAATCTTTACAGAAGCAGGTTTCCAGGCCTTTCTTTCATGGCACTGTTGGTTGGGTTCAGTCTGCCAACCTTCAGGTTAGTAGTTGAGCACAAATTGTCTGTACCAAATCCTCAGAATAAGTTTCCCAAGACTTATATTGAAGAATTATCCCTATATATATAGACATAAAAGAACACTGTACATTTTTCTCTGATTAGTGAAAATAACTTATTTGTTTCTAGAGTCATCTGTGAGTTTTTTAAATATCAGGAGATGGACTTATTAGATAGATATTCTGATGTATACTGCCAGGACTTAGAAAAAGAATAAAGATGATCAAAGCAATGGATGGAGAGAGAGCCCATCCATATTTACCTAAAGTTTAGACAGATTATCTCCATTAATTAAAGTACAGTACAAATGAAAGCACACATATATCATGTTTATTTTTGCAAATAATACACCCATGTCAATGTACATACACACATAATGCACAAAGCATGCATAGGAAATGAATGCGTAAGGGGAATGCAATTTGCAGAAAAATGTGTAACACATGGGTTATTTGTGTAAAAATATAGTATGTTTGCTTCTTACTTCGGCCTAGTAGTTTTGCACAGAGGAAAAATACTCAGACCATCAGCACTAAGTCCATGCAGTATTGGAACAAACATCTGCTGTGAGCCACAAGAGGGCCAGATGGAAAACTAATTCAGGCACACATAGACTTGAAGGTGGGGGCAGTGGCGTAATTTATACAAAAGTTACAGCAGATTTAGCTGAGAAAGTTCTTGGCTGAAAGATCTGACTAGATGACATATAATGTTATTGGTATTTTACCATTAGCCCATCCTTCTCTTTAAATATATTTTGTAAGGGAAAGGAAATGTAGTTTCTAATGTTTTCATGTCTTGTGCTTCTAAAAGTTTCCTAGAATCTGAGTAAGGAATTTTAATAAAAGAAAACATAAACTGACCTTTAGTCCTGAGGTATATATAATTCAATAGCAGAAACTAGTTTTTCCTTTTAGTGAATATAATTCTTAACCGTAGATGGCAATTTTTATAGGCACTGGGGAGATGGTAAGCAAAGAGATGGTAAGATGTTATTGTGAACACCACCACAAACAATATGGTGCCATGAACCCATGAAAAATGGCTGGAATGGGAATGAAAAGACTGCGCTCAACACTGCCCATAAGCTCTTAAGCAAATCTTCCAATGTCTTTGAGTCCAGGAAAATATAAATAATAATGTCTCCCCCTATTTACTCAGATGCATAACAAGGGATTAAGTAGGAAGGGATTAAATAGGAGCCTTTTTGGGGAAAAGGGCAAAGCATTACAAAAATGTGAAGTGTATTATTGTCACAGGATTCCATGTGGATAAAGAGTGAAACTGCAAGTCAATCTCTGGCACATTTGGACGAAATAATGTCAGGTGTCTGGGGCAGGACAGACATCTGGATGTGTGATCATATTTTTTATTCTTCCTCCAGATGTTGGGACATTATAACTGTTAGGGATAAGCAAAAAATTACTTTGAACATTTGAAAATGGGACCTGGTAGAAATAATAGACCATTAATTGGATGCTAGTGGAGTGTTTCAAAGAACTCTAGCAAACTGGGCTCTCCACATCAGAGGGAAACCTCAGAGGTCATCCTTATACAGGGTTTCTGTTTATACATCCATAATTTCCAAAAGGAGGCCTGGTGTTGCAAATGGTTAAGCACTGGCTGCTAACCAAAAGGCTGGCGGTTTGTTTGAACCCACCCTACGGCTCTACAGGAGAAATACCAGGCAATCCGATTCTGTGAAAATAACAGCCCAAGAAAACTCTATGACCCTATGGGGGCAGTTCTACTGTGTCACTTAGGGTCACTATGAATTGGAATCGGGTCAAGGGCACCCAACAACAACATAATTTTCAATGTTATAACTTAGTCACATATTGGCATGAGGGAGTTAGAATACTGTTTCCAACTGATTTGGATCATAATTACTTAATATATGATGGACAGCTCTTTAAACTTCAGTAAGAGGAGTTCCCCCCCTCCCTGCAGGAAAAAAAAATCATACCTTGCTATTTTATTAATTTGTAATTATGTCTAAATTCAAGCCCAGCATTACTTTTTCAGCTACAGCTATCATTTATTGAGTGACATCAAACATTCTCTCAGTCTCTATTAATAATGACTTCTTTGAAGGAAAATAACATTTGCAATTTATCTTTCTGAAAGTGTCAGAAATAACTTTGTATTACCCAAATGAATATTGTTTATATACAAAGTCATTATTTTCTGCTTTATTGAAGTTTAAACTATTCTATCTTTTTAATTGCATAGAATAGCCCAAACTTCAACTATAACTGGGGGAAGTACTTGAGGAACTGTCTCTTTGCCACAAGCAAACATCAAGTAGACTAAAAATCTGAGGAAAAATAGTACTCTTGGATGCTGACAATTCCCTTTCTGCCTGGGGCTATTGTGTGCTTTATAGATTAGACCATCATTCTATAAACTGCTGGAGGTATGACTTTTAAGAGTTAAAAGAACCAAGATTAAGTGCTGAAGCACAAGTTTGCAGGAGGTTTTTCATTTGGCTCTAGAAATACCACAATTTAGATATAGTAATGATATAAGGCAGGGTTGGGAAACACGGTGCTCTTATAGGACAGTCTGTTTTCCTGATTCTCAGAATCTCAGTATTTTCAGACCGACCATTACTCATCTATGACTGAGCCATCTGCTGGGGACAATCTTCCATGGCTCAGAGAACTGGAGTAACTGGACTGATGGAAAGCTGTAGTGGGGCCAGCCTGCTCCTGCGGAACGAGCCCTGAGGCATGGAGAGCCAAAGAAGAATTGGACAGACACTACTGTTCCATTACATCCAGTTCTGCTGAGGTCGTTGAGTTCTCCCTTGTTTAAATTAAACTTTACACCATATTTAGTCAACACTCCTAGAGTTAAAAGTTTAGTGTCTCTGTTTTCCTCTGTTGGCTAAGTCCACATCAGGCTGCAAGCCATAACACTCAATTAAACCAAATAGTGATAGCTGCAGGGCTGATCAACAAGCACTGAGTAGGAGACAGTGCCCAAGAACCATGCCCTGTCCTAACCCACAACTCACAGAGCAGACAGGAAACCAGCTAATATGCAAAGGATGCAGTGGACAATATTGTTGTTTTTCTCCAAATAAAGCTAAGACGACAGAGAATTTCTCCAGGGAGGAATCTGCCTGTCTGTACCGTGTACACACACACCCACACATTTCATGTGCTAGTAATTTTTACTAGGTTGAAAATTTCTTCTTCAATATTTAACTTCTATTTTCATTAGGTCAACATTTTTCTTTGCTTGCTTTAATTAATTATATTCTCCATCAATATAATTTAAATGAGACTGACAATTGCTATGCCAGGACATTAAAAAAAAAAAAAAAATCACTTTCTGGGGCAGATCCACATATCTACATAATAAAATACTAAGTTAATACTCTGTGATTTAGGATTAAATGTCAAAGTCAGTCCTCTTTAATATATTCTCCCTTATCAATGGTCATACATAAATAATTTTGCCTTCACACAAATGGCTCTGAAGAGATCAAAGTTTCTTAGCATGGCACATAGGCTACAATCACCCCTAAACTTACCCTTAGTTGCTGTTTCTGTATTAGCATGCAGGTAGGAACTTTTACTGTGTTACCATCTTAGCCTGTCTAGTGTTAATCCATCACTCTTCCCTCTCCTCTCCCTGCACTCACCTTGGGGATGCTGAGGTGTTTCCGGGGAGGAGGATGGTACCGGGAGAGCAGCTGGTGCATCTAGAGATGAAGCGCTATGGCTCAGAGGGGTGGGGGAGGCAGGGGCTGCTGGTGAGGTCAGGTCCAAGGAGAGGTCAGCTCTACCCCGGCTCACACTTCGGCTTCTCAGCTCCTTCTCATGTGCCTCGGCTGCCAACTGCTCCAAGTATTTGTATCTGAAAGTTAAATTCCAAAGGGTTTCCGTAAAAAGAAAGAGGAGCCCGTGGCTGATGCTTGTTTATGGATGAAACACCTGCAGAGTGAGCTGGTTTCCTGATGCACCGAGCACAGCGCAGAGCTGACTGGAGGGTCAGTCTGCCAAAAAAACACCCAGCCAAGCCAAGATGCTGCTGATTAAAAAACCCGTACCATTCATAACCAAGCAAACTGGGGGAAATGGCAGCATCACATGGTCCCCAAACCCTGGGTCGCTGCTGCAGAATCCCAGGCTGCTCTTTTAGGAGACAATGTGGACAATTATGCAAAACAGCAATAATGACCATCAAATAGCCCCTATGGTGACAGCTGAGAACCAACCGCTCTCAGCAGAGCTCACAGCTATGCAATGGGAGGATGGATGTCTCAGTGCAGCAGTGAGGAACAATGGGCTCAAATACCAAACGGGGTTGTTTGGACGGAGGCCTCTCTGAATTTCTGAACCTGCTTCAATGCTAACAGCAATGCAACTGGAATTCACTTTGTTCTCTCAGTGTCGACCATGGAAACTTTTTTATATTCTAAAATATTTCTGAGTCGGACTGAGACATCCAATAGCTTGGACCTGACGTCACATATAGTTTATTCATCAAAGTCAGTTTAAAAGAACAAAGATACATCTGTTTTGCATTTCAGGCAGGCAGAACCCACTAACTGTTTATTAAGACCAGCTACCAATCATATTCCTCACAGTGTGCTTTATAGATCAGACCAAAATAACTTTGAAATATGTGCCTCTTCCAGATGTCTGCTAATTTTACCCACCATTATTTGCTCAGAAATAAATTTACGAATTCAGCTGGAGCAGGTTTCTGACTCTCTTGCCCACAACTGAACTTTGAAACATCATATTTGGGACCTTCGCTCTGCACCCATTAGGATTCACAGCTCTAGCCCACCCCCTCCCACCAGAGAACCCCTTAACTCTGGCCCACTCAGCCCTCACCTTGTCAGTGCACAAGGCACACCTTATTTGCTCAGATAAGAAAGGCACAGCATGTATTTAAAACCTTTAAAAACAATGCATTTAGAAAACATGCATTTTTTTACTCTCATCCTTAAAGTGCGTTGTATTTCCCCATGTTTGGAATCATCACCCCTTCTCCCTGCCAGCCAAAGGCAGCCTGCCCTTCAGGCTGAGTTCGCATGCACAACTCCCTCTGTGAAGTCTGCCTTGACCACCACAGCTGGAAGTGATCTTGGCCTTGCCTCTGAACTCATGTCGGATATGTAGTCCATTCAACTCAGATGGCACTTTACATTTACTGCCTGGCACATTTAGTCATCTTTTCACATGTGTGTCTCTTTTCAACAAGCAGATAATAGGATTTTTGAGAACAAGAAGGTTTTCATCCTTTTGTTCTTTCCCTCGGCACCTTGCCTTTGTCAACTGATGGAAAACAAGCCCAGCATGCAGTAAGAACCTGCAGAGCAGCACCTGGCCTGCAGAGGTCGACCTGTTGGTCCAGGACACCAGAGGGGTAAATGTACCCAACTGCATCTTCCTGGGTAGTGAGCTTGCCTTTGTGGAGATTCTCAGGCAAAAGATGTGCAGTATCTCTGTACACACAAACACTGATGCCTGGCAACAGAGAGCAGCTGTCTCACAGTTACAGGGTGAAACTAGACCCAGATAAAAAGATTCAGAAACTCTAGACTTTCCTTGTTGACAACATCTCCTCTCGAAAGGTAGGAGAGGTAACAAAAGGTGTATGAACTTCATTTAGGCCAGCAAGGAGAAACCATCTGGCTATGGAAGTGAAAGCAACCTTGGGAGAAAGTGATCTTGGGAGGAGGGGCTGCTAGAGTCAGAACCCCAGCAGGGAGCAATACGTGTTAAATGGGGTAGCAGTAAGTTGGAGGCCAGGAATGTTCCAGGCCCTGGAGAAGTTTGATAGCACAGGAATTCCCACAGAGAGTCCAAGCTTCTGCGACAGCAGAAAGGGGCAGGTAAGGGATAGCATGCAAAGAACAAGATTTGGACAAGTCCAGTGGATCAGGATTATGAAGCAGGAAAGCAATGCTACAACAAAACCAGAGTCTAGGAAGGGTGGGAATGAAACCTTGCCTGAAAGGTCTCAGGCCAGGAGGATAACCCATGTATGACCTTCATTTTCACTGGCCCAACCTCATTTCTGGCCTCCACCTACCCCTCCTGGTGGGCAGCCAGGGCTGACCATCATGGGCTGCCAGCCAAAGGGTTCACCCCAACTATCTGGAGGATTGCATGGATTGCTCATCCCACAGTCTGGATAGTTGCAACTCAAAAATAATGACTCACTCTTCCTGTGCACTCTGTTCTCATGGAAGCCATCACTGAGAAGCCATGAGATATGGGAAGAGTCAAGGGTTTAACCTGAATTGTCCTAAGGAGTGGTAGACAAAAATGGCAGGAGAAGGGATGCATGGAGGTCAACATCTGCTGAAACTTCTTTAAAAAAAAAGAAGCTGTAGCCATGTTCATCTGCAATGGGTTGAAGCGGTGAGAATGGGTTGGCATGCATGGGAAGAACCCCACCCTCTGCATTGAGAACTTTGCAACTTAGCAGCTCTCTGCCTATGTGAATCTCTGTAGTCTGTGGGGAAGAAATAGGACCTTACAGCGATTCTAAGTGCCTCATGCCCTCATGGAGCCAAGAATACTTGATCTGGGGAGCCCATCAATCCATATGATCACTGTCACATAGCCCTGTAACTGAAAGACCCCAGTGGAGCCTCCTGGCTCTGGGCTTTCCGTCCACAAACCACCACCCCAAGAAAACCCTTTTCACCTTGCGGTCTTCATCTAAATATTCCCACATGTCTTACCTCTGCCCATATCATTTGTTTATTCTTCATCTTTTCACGTATTTATTGAACTTTTGTCAAGTGCCTATCATGTGCTAAGAACAGCACTAGGGATATGATAATAAACAAGAATAAAGCCCACCCTCACAGTGCTCACAGATCAATGGGAAAGAAGCAAACAAACCATTGAGATGAACTCAAGCATGCATGGGGGCAAGGGTGGAGGGCTGCTGCTGGAGCCAGGGGATAGATACCCAGGCTCAATCTCTTCCCACAGGACTATAAAAACCCTGCTTGCTTGCAAGCAGACTTAGCTTAACCTAAACCTACTTACTGATGGCCATTTCTTGCCACCATCCTACTCAGAAATTCTCCCAAATCCAAATTTAGTTCCCTCTAACTTCTATTCTGTCCTTAGTTCTTTTAAGCAATGCTCAGAACCCTCTTTTATTGCTTCACTGACCACTTTTAAGTATAATTTCCAAAATCCCAGCCCAGGCCCAACCCTTCCCCTGTACTCTGTTCCTTTTACCCCTGCTTGCCATAAGGCATTTGCTCTCCATGTCCTGCCAGTCCCCGTAGACTGGCAAATCCAAAATGAATTGATCCTCCCAACTCCACATTTCCCCACCCAGCCTGGATCTCATTTCTTTATTCCTCTTTCTGATATGAAACTAAATGGAATAAAAAGAAATAAATAGCAACATGTGCTTGGATGGTCATTAGGCCTCAAAGTAGGCCTCAAATGACATCCTCCTTGCTACACTTACATGATATAAACCTCAGGACCATCTGTTGTGACTCTCACCGTGTTTTTCTGAGCCATTTGCATTAAGGGTAAGAAACATGAGATCCAATGAATACACCCAACTCTGTCTTGAAAAATGAATTGACAGACTACTCTCCCTTTATTTCTGTACCTCTTTCCATCTCTGATCTCCACTGGTTCCCCTACCCATTCTCCAACTCCATTAGAGTTGGAAATCTACTTTTTTCCTGGCTTACTGGGAACCCCCAACAGCTTTCCAACCAGGAATGAAATTCTTTCTCCCATCTTCCCAGGTAATTCAAGAAGTAGCTAACCAAGGAAAGCAGCTGGTCCAAACCAAAGGAAAATGCTTGGCTATTTTCCCAAACCTTCAATGTGAAATGCAAGGGAAGAATCCCATAGAGAGCCGGTTCTGAACCAGCTAAGAAGGCCCATGCTATGAGGACAGGGGACAGGCCTGTGGGCAAAACTAAAGGGGAGAAATTGCAACCTCACTGGCACATGTTTCCCAGGCAGAAGGGAAGGTTTTCATTGGAAAACAAAGCAGCAAATAATATCCAGAAAGACTTGGCCTCTAAAGGCTTTGGAACGTTATGTTATCATCTCAACCAGTTCAGAACCGACACAGAACCCTGATATCTATCTCCCCCAGGGGTTTTCAAGCCTCTGCAGCTCTGTTTGCCTATGTGGATATAACCTGACAGTCAAGTTGTAGAAAGCTCAAAGAAGTTCAGAATTGAGAGGGAGAGTTTTGTTTTTAGAGCTCATTGTGTTAAGCCTGGGCAAAAAGTTCACAGGATTTTCAGGAAAAGTAGATGACATGTCTCAAGCACAATGACAAAAACAGGTACTAATGAGAGAAACAGAAGTTTTTTTAGAAGCATCATTCACTCGAAATTTGCTAGCCACAATTGGTTATCAGGATGGGAAAAATCTGATCGAATGTTGGTATTAAAACAATGCCATAATGGACTAAACATCTAAATTTTAAATTGTACACAGGAAGCTTCCAATCTTTCCTGTCTTAAACTTCCCTGATCTATTTAGTTGATGTTGCCTGAAAAATTAGCCCAATTTCTCAGGACCATAGTTGCAGGGGACATCAAGCTCAATTGGCATAACATACTACATAAAACATTGTTCCACCTCCTACTTTGGCAAGTAGCAACTGGGATCTTAAAAGCTTGCAAGCAGCCATCCAGATGCAATGATGGGCCTTTCCTCATCCAGAGCAAAGAAGAATAAAGAAAACCGAAGATTCATGGAAACAATTAGTCCAAGCGACAAATACACCATGCGATCCTCAGCCTTTATGACTATGAGACCAGAAGAACTAGATGGTGCCTGGCTACCACTGTCAACCACTTGGAGGGGGACCTATGTAAGAGATCTTGGATAGAGAGGGAGAACAATGTAGAACAAAACTCAAAATCTTTTGGGGAAAAAAAGAAAAAGACCAGGTTTGCTGGTCTGATAGAGTCTGATGGAACCACTGAGACTATGGCTGCTAGCTGCCCATCAGGACTGAAATTGAACCCACACCTGTGGCTTCCAGTCAAACAAAAAACAGGCATATAAGGTGAACATTTACACTAGGTAGACACATGCCTTGGAGAGAACAATCATGGGAGAAAGAAGGGCTGTTTATGCACAGGGAGACAGCTGGGGGGGTGGCAGGAATGCATGGAGGGATGGACACAGGGAAGAGGTAACTATCAGGAAAAGTGGGAGGGGAGCTGTTGCATTGTGGTAAAATGTAGTCAATGTCATGAGACAAAGTGTATGTGAACTGCTGTTGGAAATTGAATTTGCTCTGTAAACTTTCACCCAAGTCAGAATAAAAAAAGAAAAAAAAAAATTAGTCCAATTTCACTTTTTATTGGTATGATGCAGAGATTGTTAGGTTCCCAGCTGGCCCCTCACAGAAAATCAGCCTTTCCATCTCTCCATGCAGTAACCCCATCTAGTGGTAAAGGAGGCAACTGCAGGCTATATACAGCTTGGGGGCAAAACTAAATCTGTATCTCTTATTGGGATTCAAAGCTGCTATTGAAATTAATGGACTGGTTTATGGCTTGAATATTTTAAATAAAACTAACACACTGCCATCAAGTTGATTCTGACTCAGAGCAACCCAACAAGGCAGAGTAGAACTTCCCCATAGGGTTTTCAAGGCTGTAAATCTTTATGGAAGGGTACTGTCTCATCTTTCTCCCACGGAACAGCTGTTGGGTCCAACTATCAACCTTTTAGTTAGAAGCCAAATGCTTTAACCTCTGTACCACTAGAGCTCCCAAATAAAACTATTGGTCATTATTTACTTATTAATTCCATATACTTTTCCTGAATGCCTTATCAGGTGCTACGCACTGTAGTGGGCATTGGGGATACCAAGGAAAAATAGGCATGGTTCTTCCATCAAGGAACTGAGTACAGTTCAGGGTGCAGGTGGGGAGAGATAAGTGATCAGGCACATCCTTGCTTTGTGCATTCACTTTTGTCTGCACTCGTAAGATGCCCACCGTGTACAATTTTAACGTTTTACTTGTCAGCTTACAACTTGAATCTAAGATTTAAGATTTTCCTGGACAACTCCAACATCACAGTTTTCTAGTACTGGACATCATAATGTAGCTTAAGTATTCTGTCCCTGGCTTCAAGGTCACTGGATATCAAGGGGCAGTAACTCAGAGAAAGCAAAGCAAGTTAGATGGGGAAGAAAAACAACAACAGAAAGACTCAGATATGTTATTGTTTATAGCAGTCTATCTTCATCACTTCCTACACTAGAGACACTTTCCCACCGTCTCAGGCATGTTTGGCATCATGGCTGGTGCTCAGCACGATATGTGTGCTCAAATATTTGTTGAAGGAAGGTGGAACAATTGGCAGGGAAGCACACAGCAGGGACATTTATCCCAGTGTCAGTAGTGGCGGCAGCGGCGGTGGTGGGGTATTTTAAAAATACATCATATATCAGAAAGCCCTGATGCTCTACTTTCAAAAAAGCCAATGAAAACCCTGTGAATCACAATAGTCCAAACCCATTGTATGTGGGGTTGCCATAGGTCGAGGGCTGACTGGACAGTAGTTACCCACAACATCCTCACTTGGAGAAGAGTTTTGGAGGCACAGACACATACACATCCTATCACAATGTCACTAAACGATCAATTCTTACCTCCTTGGAAAATTTAGATGATGAAGATGCTCTTACTCTGCAAAATATCAGTTACCTGAGGTCTTAGGTGTCTTCGGTGAAGCTCTTCTATTTTAACTAACATAGTCTCCTCTGCATGACTGGTTATGAGTGCAGAGTCATGTGCCACTTGGTTAACAAAGGGAAAAAAAGAGATATACAAACCTTTCTTCTCTTGCTTGTCTTTGCTCTTCTCTTTTGTCTAAATACTCTCGGCTAATGGAAATATGCAGAAGAAACAAAATAGGGAAGGAAAATAACATAATTAGATGCTCAGAAAAGTGCCAAGAAATTCTTAGCAGTGTATCATGAAAGCCTGCCATTGCTTCAGGAATAGGAAGTGGTTGAAGATAAATTTAAAAAATCAAGTTTAAAGGCTATGCTCTAAAAGTAACAAATACAACATGACTTTTGAGCCCAGGATTCTTTTCTCTGCATTCTCCCACTCTCAATTTCTATTCAGGGATCACGGGAAATTTTGCTTTGTGCGTTCACTTTTTTCTGCCCCCCTAAGATGCCCCACCTTGTACAATTTTAATGTTTTACTTTTCTGTTACTGCTGGTCAGCTTGCAATTTGAATCTAAGATTTAAGACTGTGTGGTCAGTCACCTCTCAGTGAACCATTTATTTTTCTGGCCAACTCCAACATCACAGTTTTCTAGTACAGGACATCATAATGTAGCTTAAGTATTCTGCCCCTTGTTGCAAAGTTGCTGGATATCAAGGGGCAGTAACTCAGAGAGAGCAAAGCAAGTTAGGTGGGAAAGAAAAAAACAACAGAAAGACTCAGATACTTATTGTTTATACATGTTGATCTTCATCACTTTCTACTAGAAACATTTTTCCACAGTTCAGGAAGCTATATGTCATATTCAATAATATAACTAGCAAAAGAACAACTTTTGTTTGCTTGTTATTGTTATTAGATGCCTTCGAGTCAGTTCCAACTCATAGCGACCCTATGTACAACACAATCACTGCTTTGTGTGAGCCCATTGTTGTGTCAATCCATCTCTTTTTTTGTTGACCTACTTCACCAAGCATGATGTCCTTCTCTAGGGAATGGTTCCTCTTGATGACATGTCCAAAGTAAGTAAGATGAAGCCTCTCTGTCCTCATTTCTAAGGAACATTCTGGCTTTACTTCGTCTAAGACAGATTTGTTCATTCTTCTGGCAGCCTATGGTATATTCAATATTTTTCATCAACACCACAATTCAAAAGGATCAATTCTTCTTGGTCTTTCTTATCCATTGACCAGCTTTCCGATGCATATGAGGCAAATGAAAATATTATAGCTAGGGTCAGGACACTTTAGTTCTCAAAGTGACATCTTTGTTTTGTTTTGTTTTTAAACACTTTAAAGAGGTCTTTTGCAGAAGATATGTCCAACGTAATATGTCATTTGATTTTTTGACTGCTGCTTGTGTGGATGTTGATTGTGGATCTAAGTAAAATTAAATCCTTGACAACTTCAATTTTTCTCCACTTATCATGATGTTGCTTACTGGTCTAGTTGTAAGGATTTTTCTTTTCTTGACGTTGAGGTATAATCCATACTGAAGGCTAGTCTTCATTCTTTATTAGTAAGTGCTTCAAATCCTCTTGGCTTTCAGCAAACAAATTGTGTCATCTGTGTATTGCAGGCTGTTAATGAGTCTTCCTCTAATCCTAATGTCATATTCTTCTTCATTTAGTCTGACTTCTCAGATTATTTGCTTAGCAAACAAATTGAGTAAGTATGGTGAAAGGATATTACTCTGATACATACCTCTCTTGATTTTAAACCATGCAGTATCCTCATGTTCTGTTCTGTATGAACAACTGGTTCTAGGTCTACGTACAGTTTCCCAATGAGCACAATTAAGTATTCTGGAATCCCCACTGTTTGCAATGTTACCCATAATTTATGATCCACACAGTCAAATGCTTTTGTATAGTCAATAAGACACAGGAATGCATCTTTCTGGTATTCTCTGCTTTCAACCAAGATTCATATAACATTGGCAATGATATTCCTCATTCCACGTCCTCTTCTGAATCCAGCTTGAGTTTCTAGCAGTTCCCTTTTGATGTACTGTTTCACTGTTATTGAATAATCTTCAGCAAAACTTTACTTGCATGACATATTAATTATATTGTTTGGTAACTCCTCCATTCTATTGGATCATACTTTGGCTTTCATAGACTTGTTTTAATTTTCTTCAGCTTCAACTTGAAATTGCATATAAGCAATTGACGGTCCGTCTGCAGTCATCCACTGTCCTTATTCTGACTGATAGTACTGAGTTTCTTCTTCATCTCTATCCACAGATGTAGTCAATTTGATTCCCATGTATTCCATATGGCAAGGTCAACATGTATAATCACCATTTATGTGGTTAAAAAACATATTTCCAAGAAATAGGTCCATTGGTCTTGTAAAATGCTATCATGCAATCTCCTGTGTCATTTCTATCACGAAGGCCTTATTTACCAACTACTGATCCTTCTTCATTTCCATCTTGTGCATTCCAATCACCAGTGATTATCAGTATATCTTGAATGTATGTTTGATCATTTTCAGACTGCAGAAGTTGGTAGGTAAAAATATTTAATTTCTTCATCTTAGGTGTTAGTGGATAGTACATAAATTGGAATAATAATTGTATTAATGGGTCTTTTTTGCAGGCATATGGATATGATCCTATTACTGATAAGCATTGTATTTCAGGATAGATCTACAAATGTTCTTTTTGACAATGAATGTGATGCCATTCCTCTTCAATTTGTCATTCCTGGCACAGTAGACCATATGATTGTCTGATTCAAAAAGGCCATTTTTAGTCAATTTCATTTCATTAATGCACAGGATAAAAGGAGTTCTGGTGGTACAGTGGTTAAGGCATTTCGCTGCTAACAAAAAGTTGGTGGTTTAAACCTACCAGGCAATCTGAGCAAGAAAGATAAGGCACAGGATACTGATCTTTGTGAATCTCATTTCATTTTGATGACTTCTAATTTTCTTAGATTCATACTTCATACATTCCACATTTGGATTTTTAATGGATGTTTACAGCTGTTTCTTCTCATTTTGAGTCATGCCACATCAGCAACTGGAAGTCTTAAAAGCTTTACTCTAACCATGTCATTAAGGTCAACTCTACTTTGAGGAAGTGTTTCTCCAGTCACATTTTGAGAGCCTTCCAACTTGAGGGGCTCATTTTCTGGCACTATATCAGATAATGTCCCACTGCTATTCATAAGGTTTTTGCTGGCCAATTATTTTGGAAGTAGATAGCCAGGTCCTTCTTCCAAGTCTGTCTTACTCTGAAAGCTCCACTGAAACCTGTCCATCAAAGGTGACCCTGTTCATATTTAAAATACCAGTGCCATAGCTGCCAGAATCAAAGTCACACACAAGCCACCACAGTATGGCAGTGATAGATGAGAGTGGTGGATAAACAACTAAACCAATGAAATAGCTGGTGAAAGGCAAGACATTTGGGCAATTCCTAGGACCACTCTATAAAGCTTTTCCCCTTTTCTGTTTGAATTTCTTTTCATTCATGTCCCTTGACTTGCAGAATGGTATTGTAGTCAACATTGTTAATAGCTGATCATCTGTCCTGAAGATCAGCATTCCTTCCCAGACAACAGTCCTTTTACCAGGATCATTCTGTTCTTTAGTAACAAGTAAGGCCTGTGTGCAACCAAGAGCAAATGGTGAACAGTTATAAGCATGGACTCTGATGACAGGCTGCCTGGGTCTAGTCCTCACTCTGCCAGTTGTCGCCATGCCACCTTGGACAAGCAACTTGACTTTTCCATGGCTCAGTTTCCCCATCTATAAAATGGGAATAATAACAGCATGGTGTGTAGATTAAGTGGGTTACATATGAAAAGTACTTAAAAATTTGCCTGGCACAATGTTAAGTCCTATCATTGTGGCAGGCTTTGCCATCATTCAGATTTTTCCAGAAGTGCAAGTTTCATTTTGATTTCCAACTTGCTGCTTGGCCCAGCACTTCTGATTCTTTTATTATGGCATGATGATATGACTGTGTGTGAGTGTCTATTCTATGGCAAGTGTTCTCTCTGGTGTATTATTACTTTAGGTCTCCTTATGCAGTGACTCTGACTCATGGTTTCATATTGCTTTCATTATTAAAACTCACAATTGATCATATACCTAGTACTCAGAACTGTGCTACAAATTATAGTGTGGACAGGCATGATAGCAGGAAGTTAGTTAGGATGACTGAGAGGGGCCACTGATACCAAGACCTTCAAGGCAAAATACCCGTGTCACGCTGCTGGCAATGACAGCAGCACGATTCCACCACTTCAGGGGCCAAAGGAGCCTCAAATATAACATGACGCCTGCAAAGGATCAGAGGCTACCTACCTAATGCTGTTGAATAGATTCTGACTCCTAGAGGCCCTATGGGACAGAGTAGAACTGCCCTATAGGGCTTCCTAAGCTGTATCTTCTATAGAAGTAGACTGCCAGATTGTTCTACTGTGGAGCAGCTGGTGAGTTTGAACTGCCTACCTTTCAGTTAGCATCCAAGAGCTTAATCACTACATCATCAGGGCTCCTTAGAGACTACCTCACTCAGTAAAACCAAACTCACTGCCACAGAGTCAATTCCAACTCACAGTGACACCCACTGGCTTTCCAAGGTGATAAGTCTTTATGGAAGTAAATTGTCCCATTTTCCCTCTGCAGAGCAGCTGATGGGTTTGAACCATCAACCTTCTGGTTTAGTAGTCAAATTTCTTAGATGCTGTGCCACCAGAGCTCCTTAGAGGCTACCTAAACCAAACCAAACCAAACTCAGGGCTACCGAGTCGATTCTGACTCATAGTGACCCCTTTGGGTTTCCGAGGTGGTAAATCTTTCTAGAAGTAGATTGCCCAATCTTCCTTCCACAGAGTACCTGGTGAGTTTGAACTGCCAACCTTCTGGTTAGTAATCAAATGCCTCAGGCATTATACCACCAGAGTTCCTAGAGGCTACCTAAAACCAAAAAAATCAAACTCACTGTTGTCAAGTCAGTTCTGACTCATAGGGACCCTTGAGTTTCCAAGGCAGCATCTCTACAGCAGTGGATTGTCCAGTCTTTCTTCTGAGGAGTGGCTGGTGGGTTTGAACTGTCAGCCTTCTGGTTAGCAGTCAAATGCTTTAGGCACTATTCCAGCAAAGTTACTAGAGGCTACTTAGTCGACTTTATTTGATCTTACAGATGAGGAAATTGAAATTTAGAGAAATTAAGTTAGTGACTCAAGGTTACACGGCTAGTTAGTAGGACACCAAAGACTAGAATTAATAGCTATCAGAAACATGCTGGCAAAATACACTGATATAGGAAGGTACTTCTCTGTGAAGCATAGACACACATGAGTATCAGAGTGGAAGATAAGTGTCTAAGATAAGAAGATAGTCGTTCACCAGAAAAAACTTTATGAGGCTCCAAAGACATTAGAAAGGACCAAATTACAGATGAACAGGGAAGAGTACTGCTCTGAGATTGTGGGAAGGGAGGACTCCTTTGATTCACCATCTTTATTGGGTGAGGTGAGTGGCGTATGTGAGGAGCTTTACTGTTTGTCCTGGCCAAGCAGATATTTATAAGAATTTACCCCTCACCTGCGGTATGTTTTATCTATTATGTCCAAGCTTAGTTTTTGGCTCCAGAAACCCATAGCTGGGTAAGGCTGGAATTTGGCTGAGAAAGATGCTGCTGTAAAGCCTCCTGCTGCCTGATGCTTAGGGGTCTCAGTCCGGAAAGGAGGAGCTTCTCTTGGAGTTCTTTCAGCCCACACTGGGTATGCACTTTTGAGCTAAAAGCTAACTTTCGCACTTGTTTGTTGAAACTTTGAATTCTAGTCTCCCTCCCCAGTCCACTGCTTACTTTTACAATTCAGACTTTTCGGAGCTCCATGCACTCTGCCCATGATTATGGCTACATTCAGAGATGCAATGAGAGAGACAGGATGGAGTGGGCTGATTCCATCTTTCCTAGAACTGGTACTGTTTTAAGGGTTTACATTTAAAAAAAAAAAGGATGTTGAAGCTAATCTCAGAATTTTCAAGGTGTCAGATTCTCTGCTGCTATTTGGTGGTAAAATATGCAAGTTTCTCATATTGCCATGAATCTAGACTCATTTAACCTTTTTCTGTGGTTTTACAACTTGCGCTTCCCAAAAGAGATAACCTCCAAGAGAACCTCATATAATTTGATAGTTCAGGGGAAATGATGCTAGTTTACTTTCTGTAGCCCATTAACATGGTCTTATGAAAGCTAGCTTTTCACTCACATTTTTGGAGTTATTTGTTTTCACGTAGAAGTGAGTTATAGTTAAAGCAACTTCGTAACTGTGTTTATATTTGATCATTTCTACAATTAAATATATTTTTCCTGGCTACTGGAAAAAAACTAAGTTATTGGACCTCTAAATCTGCATTGACAATGCTTTCCATTCCTTACTTAGGTACTCTCCTAGATTTAAGTAAGAGTATGCAATGGGAATATTGTTTGTCAAATAAATTGAACTGAGGGTCACTATGAATTGCAATCAACTCAATGGCAGTGGGTTTGCTATTTTTTTGGTAACAGGAAATGGAGATAAGGGAGAGAAATGGAAAAAAAGAAAGAATGTGGAAGGCATAGGAGAGACTGAAGGGGAGAAGAAGAGAAGAAGGGAAAAGCAAAATAAAGAAAGGGATAGAAAAATGGGGTACAGGAAGAAAGGGAGGAATGAGATGGAGAAGGAAGGACTCAGCAAGTCTTTCATTTGGAGTGACTTCAGAAAAAATGAGCTCTAGTGGTGTAGTGCCTAAGGCATTTGACTGCTAACCAGAGCCTGGTGTTTAGAGGACTCAGACAGCACAGCACAGCATGGAGCTCAGGGAAGGGGAGAGCGAGGAGGATGACCTGGACGATGGGGAGAACAGGTGAGCTGGGCAAAGGAAACAGAGGACAGTCAGGGGGCAGCTGGCCCAATATATGAAACCTGGACAGGGCCATTCTCGGGACCACATCATCGGAGCTGGACATGAACCAAGGAGATCAGGGGAACAACGGGTTGGGAATGAGCAGCACAATGAGGTTTTTCCCCATAAGAGGAGAGACTGTTCTTCAAAAACAATAAAGAAAATGAAGACTGCTACAGGGAACAGTGGAAGGAAGTTGGTGCAGTCTACTTTCACAAACATTTACCACTTACCAACCCTTTAGCTGTTGCTATGAGTCCGAATTGACTTGATGGCAGTGAGGTTTTTTTCATTTTGTTTTTTGGTATAAGGAGCAGGAAGCAAACCAGAAAATGAGAAAAGCCTATTCTTTAGGTATCCAACAGAACATGAATAAAACATAAGGACTTTAGAAGGAAATGTCAAATTAAGTTAAGATAATTAGGCTTTGTCCTCAGGAAGGCCTGGGTAAGACCATTTTAGATTCTGGTGGACCAAAGAACACACAAGTCACTAATTGTGTTTGGCTGACTGTCCAAGTTTCCTGGCATATGGTTAGAGAAAGACAAGCCTCTGAGTAAACCAGACTTAGGCTCTTTCAGGTACGTCTTGCTCTTCCTTGAAGATGCAGATACAATCTGAAGCAAATACATTACTTCCTAACCCTTTAATACCAGCATTAATCATACAGAGTTGTGAAGGCATGTACTTTAATTCTCAATTCATTAATTTTTTAAAAAAACAAAACCCCCTCAATCCTCCTTACCTGAATTTGTTTCTCTCTTCCCTTTCTATTCTCTGCAGCCTCTCTTCTCTCTCCTGCCGCCGCCTCTCTCTTTCTGCCGCCAACGACTCTTGGTGCTGCCTAAAGGATGATGTGAGAAGGCTGCTTGGTGATGACCTACAGACACAATGAGTTCATGTTTACTTGCTTGACTGGTGACCGTGAAGTAGGAATCAGACCTTGGCAAGAGTTGAGGGTCTGCCAGGTGCTGGTAGTGTTTGGGGAAAGTTATTAAGTATCTCAGGTCTTCTGTTTTAGGATCGCCATCTGTGTACAGAGAAAAGTAATCTTCTTCTTGTGCTGAGAGGACAAAATGTGGTAATGTATATAAAATACTTAGCAATAATCTTGACATCTACATAGTATTCAAAGATAGGTGATATTATTATCCAAGAAGTTCTAGAAATAACTATAAAATAGAAATGCATTAAATCTAGTTTAATGTCAGACTTTGATAAGCTGGAATCAACTTTCAATCTAAGACTGTTTTCTATTATTCATGTAAATGCAAACAAAGCAACACACTGCCGTTGAGTCTGATCCAACTCATAGTAACCCCTCCTTGTGTTTCCAAGGAGGTATCACTACAGAAGTAGATGGCCCAACCTTCCTTCCAAGGAGTGCCTAGTGGGTTTGAACCCCCGGCCTTCTGGTTAGCAGTCAAGTGCCTTACGCACTATACTACCAGAATAATAAGGATATATTACCATACATCAGTTTATTATACCCCTCAAAATAGGTCATCTTTAAACAAGGTACTATAATGACAAATGAGAATAAAAAAGACCAATGGTCTGAAACCTGTACAGAATTAAGAAACCTTCATTCTATGTCAAGAAGCATCCATAAACACTCAGCATGTTCAAAAGACACCATTGGACACACCATCTGGACTGTTCAGTGAAGATAGTCTGATGTGGATGGTCAGCTGTGTGGAGGCTTCCTCTCAGAGAGGAGAGAGAGGAGCAAGCCTGATCTGTACCCTTGGGCGAAGAGCAAAATGAGGACCTTGCCACTTCCCTTCACGTTCTTCTATATATTTCAGCATAGAGAGAAAATTGTTTTTTAAGGACCAGTAATAAATTATTTGAGAATTATCTAGATAATGAAATATTTTATACTAATAAGCTCTTTTTCAATGGCTTTTACACTCAAGACTGAAACACTATTTTTTTTCCCTTGTGGGAAGATAAACAGCTTACAGAGCTATGAAATCCATTATTCTGATCTCATAAATGCCCGTTTTACAAGCTGCTAATGTTTCCTGGAGAACTCTGGTAGCATAGTGCCTAAGGCACTTGACTGCTAACCAGAAGGCTGGCGGTTCAAACCCACCAGCCACTCCTTGGAAGGAAGGTTGGGCAATCTA